TCAACTGCCTGGAGGAAACCAACGTAGTTTTTACTCTGAAGGAAAAACTTGAATGTAATTTTTTTTATCTTTTTGTAAATTTGTAATCTCCTTTAACACCTTAAAAAGCTTTCTAGATTAGTTAAAAAAACGGAATACATATTTAAGCTTTTAGAAAAAAATGGTTTGTTCTTTCAAGTGAATTTAATGTATGATGATGTTTTCTTCTTGCGTTGTGTTCTCAGTGACGTTTTCGTGTGCGATGTTTTCGGCGGACACCAGTAACAAAGAACTAGGACAACCAGTTTTCGGCGGACACCATTGAGGCTTCGGACTATGAACAATTGAATTCACGAACAAATATTCCAAACAAATAATGTCTTGGATGTGCGATGTATGTATCCCGATGTTTTCGGCAGACACCAGCGACAAAGGAATAGGACACCAGGTTTCCGCGGGCACCAGTGACGCTTTGGATTATGAATAATTTAATTCATGAACAAATGCTCCAAACAAATCATGTCTTGGGTGACGAACGATGTCTCGAGATACGAAATTATAAACCAGAAAAAAATGATATGCCAAAATACAGTTAATGCAGTGGATGGAAACATCTTCAAAAATAAAAACACAGAAAGAAAGATAGTCCTAGTTATTTGATCCCCGAAATTCGGGCAAAATGGTGTAAAATGCAGAGGTTTATAGAATATTATCATCCTGATAAAGTAGTATAAAACTGAAGCATAAATATTTGCATTGACAGTGTCAGGTCTTGCATTAGAAACATAAATTTTTTAATGAGACGAAGACATACTGATTCTCAAATATAGGCTGATTGTGTGAAGAGAAAGAGGTAGGAAAAAAACAGAAACACGGTAGCTACCAGATATTTTTACGAAATACGACTACCGTTTACAAACAATAATATTATGCACCTTTAGCTTCTCTTTTTACTTCCTTCTACAAAGTAAAAAGGAAGTATTGTAATCGCAAAAATTTCATCCCTCGTATTTCAACGCAAATATCCATTTTCACCGCTATCGAATGCAATTTAACGATGTTTTTGAGTGACATCTTTACGTAAGGACAGGATAAAGGACTCGTTTCCCCCCAAAATTGAAAAACTAATTTAAAATGAATTCTGAAGAGAATTTTTCGTGGCGTCTGTGCGTCCGTACGTACATACGTACGTATGTATCTCGCATAACTCATAAACGAGTAGCCTCAGAACGTTAAAATTTTGTATGTAGGACTGCTATAACATGTAGATGTGCACCGCGTATTTTGGTTGCAATTGGCCGCACCAAAAGTATATAAATACATGTATACAGTATATATATCCACTTTGTTACTCGGCTCAGTGATGTCAGTTTTTTATTCTTAATATATTCGTAAACTTTGCATTTTTTGCTTTAAAAATGATTGAATTATGTTGCTCTTATTTTCCGATTAAGGTATTTATGTCTTCTGTATTAAATCTGTATTTTTAGAATTATTAACAATTTAAAAGTTGTTTAAGTGCCGCTAAGCCTAATAATTTTTTCCATGACGGCTATTGCTTGTTAACATTTGAAACAGCAGAATAGTAGATTTGTTGCCAATCTAGAGAAAGTCTGCTTTTGTTATTGCGAATCAAATCATACTTAATCCATTCTGGAATTTATTCGAGGAAATAAGTGTTTAAGATTTACTTCATAATTTTCAATACAGACATCTTGAGTTTTAATGTATTTTTGCCGTGTCGCGAAGTGAGAACTGAATTAATTGAATGAGAAGTACTGAATCGAAAAACTGCTTGTTTCTTTTTCTGCTGTTGTTCTTTGCTTAATTTCTTTATATATCGTTTTAGATTTATTATAGTATTTGAATAGATTGGAAACGATTAGATAATTCTTATTGTGCATTCTGAGTTAAAAAATGAACGAAATGTAACGCTATTAAGTGAACCTAGAGTGTCGTTATGGTAAACAAATATAATGAATTTTAAAGAGTGCATTTATTCTATTGTGGTTTATGAGCTATCGACGAAGTAGATTTAACTCAATCCAGTAAGTTTAAATGAAATGCAAGAAAAAATTGGTATATTTTAATATTCCGTACAAGAAAGTCATGTGGTGCACACATCAGATTTTTTTTCTATCGCCGTCCATTTTCCTTTGCAGAGCTACGATAAAATTATTCAAGATTTCTAATTCCTACACGTTTAGTGTGTTAGGTTTAATGAATTCCATTGGTTTTACATTACCAACTTATGTACAAAGAACTCTTTTTTCAGCAACTATTTGGGATGCGAGAGGGGTTAAAGCATTTTACATTAATTCCTATGGGAAACATTAATTTCGTTCACGAATATTTCGCTTGATGAGCTATCTTCAGCTATGATGAGCTAACGATTAAATTCGTGAACCAAGATTTTGATATACTGTATTAATATTTGTTAATTAGTTATTTACATATAATAATTAATTAACAGTTAATTATTTACAAATACTTTACAAAACGTCTCTAATAATTAACTCCACTTAAAATGAATAATGTAAAAAACAAAATTGAAGCAATAATCGCAAAGAAGACTCGTAATTCAGAAAATAATCATAAAATGTAAGGAATTTTGAATGTTATTGAATCTGATGATATTTACAACACTATTTATATTTGAAATTGAGAATCATGAAGAATGCTTTTCTCAGTTCTCTTTTCTGTAGAAAAACATTTTATTGATCAATGATATAAAAAATAAATAAAAGAAATCAATAAACATTTAAGCTATATTGCAGCTGGTAATTTAAAGATATGCCTTTGGAAAATTTCCCCAAACACAGCGAAATCAAATCACATTTTCAAAAAATTAACTCAGAGAACTGCAATGAATAATAATGAGATTCTCAAATGAGATTTGTCGGATTCATTACAAATCGGATTACATTTATTCCCGGCATTCCCTAGCTTTCACTTTATCTTTCCTTTGCGGCAGTTTGATTTATTTTTGAAATCATTAAAATGTATATTAGATTAATTTGTCTTACAATACTATAAGCAACGTGAAAGGGAAATAAAATTTGTGCAACTGAAATAGATTTCAGAACTGATGTATTATGATAAATTATAACTTCGAAATAATTTAATATGTTTCTCATTTATATACTGTACCATTGCAGTGTATTATTTCAAGCCACAAAACTTTATAATACAAAACACACCATAAAATGTGTTCAAGAAGAGACGAAATTAATTTTAATATATATTATTTGCGTTTTAGAATAACACATATTCGCTTATAATTAAGTTCTTAAATAATTTATTGAGATTCCAGATAATACAATTTTATCTTTAGTGACAGATAATCACAAAATTGTATTCAATTATTATTCGTTGTAATTAAATTACTCATAATTATATCTTGAAATATTTGTTTGTATATTATAGTACAGAGGATATAGTTAATCAGAGTTTGGAAATCGGTTATTGGAGAATCCAGATTTAATTAAGTTTACAGTAAATGCTTGAATGAGTTTAGAAATATGATAAGCGCAATGTTATTGGAACTAGAATCTTTTTAACCTTGCTTTGAAAATGTAATAAGGGAATGAAAATCTATTGAAACCATTTACCTCAAAGTATTCTCAATAGAAAATACTTCAAAAATAATTTAAAAGAATTATTATGCGCTTTTATTCAATAAAAATTTCATCATATTTCAATGCAAATATCCATTTTCACCGCTATCGAATGCAATTTAACGATGTTTTTGAGTGACATCTTTACGTAAGGACAGGATAAAGGACTCTTTTACCCCCAAAGATTTTTAAATTTCTGAAGAGAATTTTTCGTAGCGTCTGTGCGTACGTACGTATGTATCTAGCATAACTCAAAAACGAGTAACCCCAGAACGTTGAAAATTTGTAACTAGGACTGCTATAACATGTAGATGTGCACCTCGTATTTTGGTTGCAATCAGCCGCACCAAAAGTGTATAAATATATGTATGTAGTATATATATCCACTTTGTTACTTGGCTCAGTGATGTCAATTTTTTATTCTTATATGTTCGTAAATTGTGCATTTTTTTGCTTTAAAAATGATTGAATTATGTTGTTTTTATTTTCCGGTTAAGTTCTTATGCCTTCTGTATTAAATCTGTATACAATAGTTTTACGGAAGTATTTATTTCTAGGATGATAATTAACTCATTTATTCAGGTCAAATTCAAGTTTTTAAAAATATTTCTTTCAACGAAAAAAGTAATGTACTGTTATTTATCAGTTATTTTAAATAGAAATTTTTGCACAAATGTTATTTCTTAATTTAAAAATCATAGCAATTATAATGACTGAGTTCGAAATTCAATATAATTAATTGTAGATTTTTTAATAAGAATCGAGACATCAGAGGTCTGTGATGCTGCGTCTGAAGTGATTAATTTGCGAAATAGTATGCAGTATCAATACGTGAGTAGAATGCATCGAAACGAACGAAATATATAATATAATGATTTATTTAGACTTTTGACTCACTGAAATGGAATCTTGTGGGTGTAAGATTCCCGTACTTCAACCTGGGCTACGTTCTCAGAGATAATATGGCCTAAAGAGCCAACGGGTTCAGTCTTTCTCTATAAATGCCCGAATGGCAAAGAAATAGGGCACAGAAAAGGGAAAATTATAAAATTTGTTCTTAATGTCTTCCTTAATATCCTAAAATTCTGCAGTTGCTTCATTATCTTAACAATATGAAAAGAATCTACGAAGTAAAGTAGCAGAAATATTATTCATCATGGTGGTACAAAATAGTTAAAACTAGTTTTCTCATCTTTGAGAAAAAGATTTTCTATCAAAATTGATAAGATGATTAGTTTTTTTTATCTATATTAAGTTTTTCAATAGCCACCGTTTAAAAAATGAGATAAACATTTATTGCAGTTATTTTAAGCGGTTTTCATGTTGCTGTTAACACACTAAGATAGAAGGTATGGAGGAAGATGCACATATACTAAAAATATTTATCGTTCTAAGCCAGCTTACCTGATTTGGTAAGGACGAAAATGTGAAAATCTTTGCTGTCGGTGACTGTATAATTAGCGCTGCGAATGTAGTTGGTGGCACGGCATAAGTACATCGTACTTTCTGTAGCATTGATCGTCAGCATAGAGTGGGATAAAGTCGGCACCTCGCTCTTCAGCTGCAACGAAAAAAAAATATACATATGATTCAAAACTTTTGAGATGAATGATCAGAAAATTATAGAATTAAAGAAAGATACCAAGAGTTAAAGCTGAAATGAAACGTTAACCTTATCTGGTGCTGCGTGTAGGAAGAATGTAGTAAAATTTATTTCATATTTGAACTGCAGTACTACCTTTGTGAATACGTTTTCATATGTATTAAAATAGCATGAATGACGAGATATTAAGTACACTTACAAGGAAGCTTCCCCTTTCTTATTGCATTCCTTTGCGTTGTAAGTGGTAAGACGTCTGGCTAGCGGTTGGAAGTCTGAAGCTCGAAACCCGGCGGAGACAAACCCTGATTTAAAATGCTTAATGAACTCTACAAGTAGCGCTTGCTAAAAATGTAGTGGACGATAGAGTTTCGCAACTGTGTCTCCCTTTCTTCAGTCCTTAATGCTTGCACAGAAGAACTCTACTAAATTTTAAAATGGATTTGTTGACCTAGTGATTGTTTTTTTCATTCTAACAAACACAAACTCTCGCAGATTACCTGCGAAGGTAACGCAGAACCTTTTCCTTCTAACTGTTGAATTTTATGCCAGCCTAATACAAGAATACCAGTGAAGCAAATACGAACTGGCATTCAACCTACGCTGTCTAGTCGTTGATTCGACTGCCCATCCGGTAGAGGCAGCAGAGACAATAAAAACAGGCGAGATTCAAATTACAGGGAAGTAGAAATGACGATATCTTATTAGATATTGTAATGCTAATATTACTACGTATTCTTTATTGTAATGTAGGTTTCCTTTAAAAAATTCAGATTGTTATAGATACCTGTTATTTATCTACGACTATAAGGTATTTTCTTCCTCCTCTCTGAATGACTTCGCGGTGTAATTTTAGCACTTCGAGAGGTTCAGGTTCTATTCCCGGCGAGAGCATTGCTCATTTTCACGTCTCCATCACTGAAAACGTAATGACTCTACAGTTGCGCCCGAACTGAAAGGTGGTGGATGATGTTTTTTCACCACCACGATTTGGCGTTTGGGTCCCTAATCCCCAGTCGCCCTTTAAAAGGGAGGGGGATATATGAGGTATTTCCTCCCTCCTTTCTGTATGCTTTCGTGGTGTAACGGTAGCATATTCAGCGAATATTCTCGAGTTCCAGGTTCGAGTCCCGGTGAGGGCATTGCTCCTATTTCTCGTCTCCAGCATAAAAAAAAAAAAAAAAAAAAACCTGATAACTCTACACGGCTACATTTTATTTGTTATGTTCTTACTGTAGCCGCGTCTTTTGAAAATTAAATTATTCAATTAAGTTTCCTCTCAACATTTTTAAACAAAAAAGTAAATAAATAAAAGAGAAAAAACACGTGTGGAAATGCTATAATATTAGCATACTATGAAATTGATTAAACATTATGAATTGCTAATAATCGCAATCTTCAGCTATTTACTAGTTCAAAAATTTATTAAAATTACATTTCGTCCTGCCTTCCTCAGAAATGTTAATAAAATGTCTTGAAACCAAACAAATACGAGAAATTCTTTAACTTCATATACCTCAACAATTTGCAGAAAAGGAAAAGTCAGAATGTTGGCGGGAGAGAGTGAATAAGCGAAGGACGTGAGGAGCAGGAGCTAATTGCAGTTGAAATAAGTACCAAGCACAAGCCTTGTTTTCACAAAGTAAAATCTTAATTAGCTAAACGAGACATTTGTGCCATCAAATATTCTGACACACAAAATGAACTTCTTGACGTTAATATTTGTTAGATGCTCTGTTTGCGTAGAACACCGTTTCATTTGGTGTGGCGAGAGACGAGAGTTTATTGCAATTTAAAAGGAAAAATTGTGTGTTCCTGTTAGGAGAATACTATGTCTCCTCTAATCAGTTAAAGTTATTCCGGAGATGACTGGAAGTTCTTGAAAGCATCATTGCTTTTTAAAAATATCATAACATGCTAATAGAGGTAATACTAAATGAGAAAGTTTAACGGAGAACAATATTTGAGAGGAAAAGGGAGCTGAGTTTTGTGATCATAAATGAAAATGAATTCGTCATAATACTAAATGAATGTATAAATATTATTAGTAATAATACGCAAACTTTCATGTGGAATTTTAATCTGTAAGCTAATGCACAGAAAAACAATTTGTAAAATAAATTGAGAACGAATATCTAATATGCTTGTAGTTATTTTGTATTTACGCTTGGAGTCATTAGGTTATTTTGAAGCATGAGATATAAAAAATGTGCAGTGCCCTCGCTGGGAATCGACCCTGAACCTCTCGATTACGGGCCGAGTGTGCTACGGTTACACCACAAAGGCATGCAGAAAAAAAGAAGATACCTTATTTTTTTCTTTGTTGATTCATTGTTTCCTTTGTTGAAATGGGCGTGGCCTGTCATGACCATAAGACCACATTGTCCTCGGGTCGGGCTGCGTCGAATACTGATACTGATACCTTATATACTCCCCCTGAAAGCGACCCAAAGAAGATCATAAGGTCTCCTCCAAACTAGCCCTTGATGAAGAACTAAATTATTTAAAAGCAATAGCTATTGACAGGGGCTTTCCACCCAACATTATTAATCAAGCAGTTAAAAAATTCTCATCTCAACACACTAAAGGCACACTCTTGTTTTTAGGAGATTAATAAAATTCTGTTGTCATTCCCTTCTTTCCATCAATTAGCTATAAGTTGCACATATTTTGCAGAAATTTAACTTTCGGTTGTTTATTCTCCCATCAATAAAATTCCGAGTTCCTACTCAAGGACCCCCATTCCGGATATGAATTCCTGGGGTATTTATAGGATCCTTGCCAGTGTGGTTTAATTTACATTGGCCAACTAAGAGAGCCTTAAAATTTCGCGTCAAGGAACATGAGGCATATTTTTAGAAAAAAGGAAACACAGAAGTCTTCTGTTGCTCAACATTGTTGGTCCGAAAACCACACTTTCAGTTTTTCTGCTGCCAAATTATTCAAAACATCTTCCATTGGAGAACTGGATTTTCTAGAGGCATTTCACATTCAAAAAAATCTTTCTGTTCTAGTTAACGATCCTAATTTCAATCCATCTTTGCCTTCGGCCTTCATAAAGAAATTATGATTTAGTTCTGGTTCCACCAACAGATGGCGCCAATTGCTTATTCTTGTCCAAGCTTTCTTATCTTATCTAATCATTATTTTCTATCTTGTTCGTTTGCGGTTTTGCAGCTGAGGATTGTGGTTCGGTAAAACCATCGAAAAAAATCCCGTATAAAATTTTGAAAATATAACGCTGATTTTTGTTGTTTGACTTCTGAATTAGTATCATAAGGTCTGTTTTCAGACCAGGTGTATCGGGTCGTATTCCTTTCATTTGTAACCTTATATACACCCCCTTTTACAGGACGACTGGGGATTAGGGAACCCAATCGCCAAATTCTGGTGGTGAAGCATCATCATCTACCACATTTTAGATCGGGCGCTACTATTATTAGGTGTTTTTTAAGTAGGAGTCATGAAAAATGTGCAATGCTGTCGCTGGAACTCAACCCTGGAGCTCTGGAATATGCTTCGAGTGTGCTTCCACTTACACCACGAAAGTATACTGGAAGGAGGGAGAAAATACTTTATATGCTAAAAGGTAGTTTCGCTTTATATATTTGTCAGCATACAAAACGAAAATAATTACTGAAGTTTTCTCTCTATTTATTCTCATAAAATGTTTCATTGAGAATTATATCAGTAGAATATTTTCTTCATAAAAAGTCGCATCCTTGAAATAGTGCGTAATTTAATAAGAGTTTCTTTAAATATGCAATAGAGCACCGCAAGAATATCAAACGATAAATTTTTATTTTACAAAGAATTCTTTTTTCTTTTCATGTGATTTTATTTTACTTTATCTAAAAATTGAAATCGCCACAAAGAGGAAATGAAAACTAACATTAAAACTGTCGCTTCGTTAAAGTGGCTAAGTTTAAATATTCTTTTAATAGAAAAAACTGTAAAATGGAAGAACTGACGTAACGCATCGAGATTCGATGTAATGTATTTTGATTCGTTTATTTGCAGTTTAACAGAAATTTAAATCAAAACCTTCGAAACATGTTCTGCTAGTTTAACAGGACTCAAAATATCGGAATACCTGGAAATTGCCTACCTAATAAAAATATTAAAAAATTGGAAAAAAAAAATTAGTTCTTTCCTATATAGGCCAATGTGGCATTATAATGAAAGTGAAGCTGTTTTATTTTTTTGTTTATAGCATTTTATTTCAACAAAAATTATGCAGTTGAAAAAAATACAACTAAAAAGGGTTGGGTTTGGTTTATGGGATTACTGCACAGCTTCGAGGGCTAGCTGCCTGCCTTCGTGGAGTATTTTCTAAAGGAAACTGGCTCGTATACACGTTGCACATGGTGAAAACCACTCACACGCCCATGCAGCCAGCCTGTTCGCGGGGTTCAAATCTCAAACCGAACTACCAGTACTCAGACCGAACTACTAGTGTTCAGCGACTTTACCGCTCGGCCGCTGGTGGGCCAATTAATAAAGAGTTCATGGTTATTAAGTACAATGACGAAAAGTAAGCACCTTGAATATTCTTTCAAAATGGAGTAACTGATTTACATATTATTTGTTTGTTTAGTAAATTGTTTAGAAATTGATTTTGGATGAAAAGTGTGTAAAATTTTTCTTCCATCTTATCGTATGGTTCGTGATCCAATTGGGAAGTACATCCAGCCAGCAATCGAAAGATCTGGAGTTCGAGTATGGGAAAAGGTGCTTTAGATTATATTGGTTCCTAGCTTTTAAAAATTCTTAATAGCTCTACAAGTAGCACCCAAATTAAAATAAAAAGAGGTGATGTATAGTAATTAATCACCACCATCAATATTGGCAATTTGGACCCTTCCTTCTCAGTAGCCCTTTAAAAGAGGGGGATGTAATTGTTTTCCTCTCTCCTTGCCCTCTCTTCGTAGTGCAACTGAAA